GTGAACCGTCCTAAACCTTATCTCTATCCTTATTCCTTCACAAATTCTGGTCGATGGGTAGATAATGCAAGGCACGTACGGGACGTGAGCGGGAAGACGCTACCTGTCGCCATGACTTGACAACACGGCCCCTAGAGAGCCTTATTAACGGAGGATTACTCCAGTGCGCTCAACGCTCCTTAAGTAGTTACGAGACGCGTTGCGTCGATATAGACGCAACAATTGTTGTTGTTTTTTTTTAAATGGAGTGTAAGTGCCTATGTAAGGATTTTAGAGCTCAAGAAAACGAGAAGAGATTCTACTTGTGCCTCTTATGTCGAACACAATTTGTAATCGTTTTTAGAGATTAAATAAATAAAGTAAAGAACCTTAGTACAAAACGTGTCGATGTCAAGAAATTTTAGTATCGGAGTTGTTGAGAGGCTTGCTCGATCGCTTCTACCTTTTTCTCCAATGACATCCAAACGGATGGCGGAGCAGTATCTTAAACGGGTCGTCGAACGCCCTCTATGTTTCCTTCCTCAACCCGTCTCATCTCTCATTTTGAATTTTCGAGCAGATCTCAACCTCATATAATGACTGGTTCGTGATTTCGTGCGCGTCATCATGTAAGGTCATTAGTCCTGTACGGCGGTAATACTCACCATCCCAGCGCGATGGTGAGATCCGCCACCGACCTGATTTTTTGGGCTAGCGGAGTTTTCCCCAACCAGGTATCTCCCATCAGCAGAACACCACCCCAGCCGGGACAAGCACTACGCTCCAGACCGGTGTCCCGCCATGCGTGGTAGTGAATGTAAGTATAAGTGTGTGTAAGGGTGAGGATAAGTCAAGGAAGAGGAAGGAAGATCGCGCACTTCCCGTGGCCCGTCGGTACTGTTTCGGAATTTGTCTGGTATTGATAAAAACACGGAAAACCACTGATTAGAGCATCCGACTACTAAAATTCTCCTCCAGGCAACGACTGAATAGCTCGAGACAGTGAAACCCGACCTAGTAACTATCTAGCTACGGTCAAAACTCCTGCCATCGTCGGGTCTCGTTCCTGGGACCTTTTATACAGAGACACTGTGGTGACTTCTGTGGATGCCCTGAGCCACCTGTCACAATTCATCTTCATATACATATATCTTCCTATATTGACCTAGGAAAATATACGTGTGAAACACTGTATAGATAATGCTGATGAATCGAAACAAGTACATAATTCATAGAATATATCTCGTTTCAATCAATTCAATGGAATGTTGAATAAATTAATATAATCTTATTTTTTTACAATTTCACAATTCTTATGAGTGATATGTATTCCACCATTTCAATATGATTTAAGCAGGGAGCTTCCATATTTCGCGTTTTACCGATATCTATTGTGGGCTCTCCGATTACAACGTGCTTTCATTATCGTCGGAGACAAATGCACGGAAATGCTTAACCCGCTGCAGAGGCTGCAACGCTCACAACCCCTGCCGTACGCGCCAATGGCTTTCTTGCCGTTATCACCAGAGGGAAACGTGTATGCCTTACGCGGGGAATGAGCCCACACACACGGCGAAAAGCGTATCTTACAGGCCCGAGCATCTGCATTATATAGATTGAGCTAAAATATTTGCTACA